AGCTATATATGATTTGTATACCCTATGTAATCGTAGCAGGACTCGATATGGATCATCCATCAAAGTGTTAATAATCTGTTAGGATTCTTTAGACATTTCCATTCTCGCACGAACCCTGTAGAAAACCCTACCCACTTCAGTGCATAACAGAAGAGTTGATTCCGACCCCGAAGAAGTTCATTTAGAAGATTTCCTGTACGGAAATAAATGAATTGGGTCGAGACTATTGAATGAACCAAGTGCCCATATTCTTTTAGGGACATCGGTGGGGAATTCGCCTAAACTTCTGAGATTCCCAGTCATCCATCATGAAGTGATGACACCCATAGTTGGAATTAGAAGAAAGGCGGAGTAGAAATTTAATATGTCCATACGAGAAGAGAACCCTAGGAAACTACCCGAAGGAAACCAATGCCGATTCCAGTCAAAGATACAAGGCAGACCGAGGGAGCCAGTACGTGGAACCCAAAAAGTGTCTTTTCCACGTGTTCGTCACGCTAATACACCCATAAAATAATACAATTTAGTGAGTTAGTGATTACACTGCTCACACTATGTGTTAGGTAAATTGCCTTGTTCCCGTTGCCAGTAATACGCTTAGAATGGATCCCCACACCTCTGTGGGATTGTTTAGCCATAAACCCTCATGAGCCTCTCTTTCCGCAGCTTCGTTTTGAACTGTTCTCAAATCTCTCCAGGCTGGAGATTGAAACCTTTCTCAGTATAAAGGTAACATAGTAGGAACGACTCGCATCTTATGGCCTTTTTCTGATACTCATACACCCACTTCGATTACCAGAACTACATCATAGGGATGTAGGTCGACACTCAGACAACCAATATCCAAGGCACAGGAAAAATATTATGCCTAATACGTTCAGGATAGAAATGTCCAGGGTTAACTATCGTCTTTCATTACCTTGTACACTGAAATCTCTTAAACTATTACTTTCTTAAGTTAATTGAATGAAATGTCACTAAATGCTTATGAACTCACCAGCATTTGTAAAAATGCTGATACTCGCTTTTCAAATAACTTGTATTCTCAGGTCAGCAATTAGACAGGTACACCCTCGGAGCTGTTGATGAAGATGGCTTAGTACCTTGCTGTATTTATTATATTTACTTGCATACTTTGAATACTTGTAATGTAACCATGTAAAACTATTACTATTAATGCAATGTTTTGTTGTACTTTGATTACTATAATGCATGTGTTGTGATACTTGACATGACGTCATCCACTCTAGAACGTTTCCGCCGTTCCGGTTTTGGGGTGTGACACATCCAGGTGTCATGGGCTCTCCCATGGTCTTCCATGCAAATATCACAAAGACAATTAGAATTCCACATGATCACTAGTATACCATATATACATGCATACCAAACATATAAATAGTGAATCTACAAGAAACACTACAACATAGTAGGAAAGCCATGGGCTCTCCACATGGTCTTACATCTAGGTGCCATGGGAACTCCTATGGTCTTCCAAACAAGCAAAACACATATACCACTAACATACTTACTAGCACATAACTAGCTAACATGCCATATAATACAACTTCAGCTAGTGTACTGCATATCATAAAATGGGCCGACATTGGTGCCTTAGACCCATTGGTATGGTGAGGAGACTCACCTGGCAGTGCTGAAGTCCTGCGAATGAAAATCCAGCTACTGGTTGACAGATTTCCGAACTACCAACATCAAACAATACCAAATTAATATTTGGGTCCTACACATAACGATAAGTACTTGGATTAACATGCTACATTACCTCATCTTGGCTTGGTTCAAGCCCAAGGCCCAATCTATAGACCCAAAAGTCAAACTAGGAATCAAAGCCCAACATAGAGCCTAATTTTCCAGATTGGACGCAAGCCTTTAGATGGCCTTATTCAAAGGCCCAACCATTTATTCTAGTCCAACATTTAACATTCTACTGGCCCAATATCATATAATCATTAAGGCCCAAACTTTGGCCCATCTATGGACTAATTTTCCAAAATGGGCCCAAACCCTCATATCGGCCTTACCCTAAGCCCATCAACATATTCTAGTCCATATGATTATTCTTGGATGACCCATTAATAATAAAATCATCAAGGCCCAAAAGAAAGGTCCAACAATAAACCTAAGTGAAATTAGGGTTTTCCCATGAAATAATGATTAGGGTTAACTGTCCCTGCTAAACCCATTAAGGACTTAATCCACTAAGTCCCACCTGGCCTTAGGTTAATTACAACTGGTTATTAATTAATATTTAAGTTCATTAAATAAGCCCGATAAATCCCAAATTATGGTTTCATGGCATTAGGGTTTTCCAAAACCTAATTAGGGTTTTCCAAACCGTAATTAGGGTTTCCAACCCATCTTAGCCCAATAGGCCCAATAGTTAGGTCCTTTGATAAATTAGGGTTCATTAGGCCCATTAGGGTTTGAAGCATCCCAACCAAATCAAGCACAACAAGGCAAAACACACCGCCACCCGACACGACGGCCGTTGGCGGTAGCCACCACCTCACGGTGGTGGTTAGGGTTTCTTTCCATTTTTCCAATTTTGTTACAATGTACAATTCCACTATCGAAAATAAACACACACACACGCACACTAATGCTAAATACACATACACACACAACCACCATGTGGTGGCCGGTGGTGGCGCATGGCGGCAACCACCACCACACGGTGCTGGCGGTGGCTCTTTCGTAAACTCCGGCTAACCAAAATGCCCAAACACATACAACTAATAGAAATAAAAGCACACACACCTAAACATCTAGTAAGACATGTACACAACCACCTTCGATAGTGGGTGGTGGCGGCGGAGAATGGTAGTAGAAGGCAGGTGACGAAACGGCAACAGCAAGCGGCGGTGATGACTCGATACAATCAAAAGGAGCGAAAGGATGGAGGAATAGGTCACGGTTTAGCCTTACTGGGGGTCTTCCATTTGTTCACAGCTCCTACCGTAAGTCTCAGCAACCAGCCGACTGTTCTCAACGTCACTAGCAGTAGTAGGGATGTAACAGTAGCATACTTTGTCAAGGCAACAGGCGGAAATGGCGACGGTCGGAATCGGAGAGGCATTGGCTCCTTAACAGATGGTGAAAGGCAGTGGAAGAATGGTCGTGGCTATCGACATGAAAGTAGAAAAACGAAGAGCAACACAAGGAGGCGGTTGCAGCAACATCGGCCTAACGCCCGACGACGGCGTTTCTGGTGGTTCCACGATTCCCACACAATGACAGCACCTACTCGGTGCTCCTTAGACCGGCCACCATGGTCTTCGACGTCCGACGGTTGGCTTAAGGGGATTCACGGTGGTAGAGGAAGGATAGAGGCACCGGAGGTGTTAACGTAAGGGTAGCGGCTGAATGGGGTATTAGGGTTAGGGTTACGGAGGCTAAGGGTTATATACCAGACTCATGCAAACTTTTGCCCATAATGACAGAAATGGCCCTTCATTCTACTTTTTCTTTACAAGATTGATCCATATTTTACCTTTTAAACCTCATCATTAAAATTCATTACGGATCAAGTACAAATGTTACCAATTAGCCCCTGCTTCCATAAATCTTTTACATATTCGGTCCAAATAATACCAAACACACCCCTACTTCTGAAATCCCTTTCAAAATAGATCCCAAAATTACAGTTTAACTCCCGGAGATTCAAATCTTGCCATTTTGCTTCTCGAAACCAACACCTTGCTAATTATTATTTAAGTTTGGGCTATAATAATATAAATTAATACTAAAAATTACATCTCGTGGTTCTGTTTATTATTTAATTGTTATATTTTAAACGGAATGTTACATTCTATGATTTCTATGTTAGTTCCAAAAGGAAACCTCAACATGATACACAACTCCTTTCATGGATATTCCACGTTGTTAATATCAAAATCAGAATGAACTGATTACATGCACATGCCAGCTAGTCGACTAACCCTAGTCAACTCCTTAAGTAAGGAAATTCCATTTTACTTTAATATGTTACTTCACAATGTAGATTTGATAATTTCTATTTCTAACAATTTCGAATTCAATGTTTGAAGTAAGCTAGGAAGAGCTTTAACAAAATCATGATCTTTCCTTTCATTTATGAGAACTATTCCTAAATTACAAATTTAGACAAGATTGATCATCCTAATAGCTAAGCCTTACAAGATTTTATAGTGGTAGATTTTAGTGCATAAGGTTATCAGCATCATTCAATATCAAATTCCATTATAGTTTGTTTTACTTATCCTTAGAAAATAATCACCCTAAATAAAAATTATTTTAGAAGGCTAGGATGCATATTTGGTTCCATGATATGTAAATGGATGCCATAAACACACCATAAAGTTATTTAGGTAAGCAAACTTATATGCCTATTATATGTGCTTGTAGACTTGCATGCTAGTACTGATCGGTCAGTGATAGGATAACTTGTTTAGGTTATGCCTGATTGTATGAGACTTTGAATTGCATGTCCAAATTCCTGATTAGAGGAGAGAGTGATTTGATTGGAATATGATGGTTAGATGTTCCATTGTCTGAGTGTTGCATGCTTTGTGCTTTGTAGGACTCTTAGTAATGTGAGTTAGCTATTAAGTGAATATGCTAGGTCACATGTGGCACATGCTAGATAATCTCAAAGTGATAGATTTGACCCTATTATGCAACTCTCTTTTTGAGTCTAACCGTTATAGGGATGAGTCTGTTACTTGAAGGATTAACTGATCTCTGTTGCACGTGGCTATATTCATGAGGTAACTAGTTGACATTACTGGGAATGTTTCAGCAGCTAAGGACAGGGTGAGTTCGGGAACCTAGGAAAGCCTAGGATATGTTTCAGTGGGTTAGTAGTGAGGCTCAGTGAGACTTGGGTGTACCGGTTGAGGAAGTGACTTGGAGGATCTGGGAGGATTGCTGAGGAAAATATTGATAGGTGTGGAAGGTAGTATTGGGCCCATACTACTAAAAGCACAGGATTCATACTCGAATTAGTGAGAGTCTTGGAGAATCCGAGAAGCTTCAAGGAAGAGTTAGTGACCTGGTTTGGGGACAGAGGATGTTCCAGTTGTTGCAGCTTAGCCATGAGCAAGTGGGCTAGAGAGTGTGACAGGGTGTTAGACCCTGAAGGACATGATTTCAAAGAAGTTGCAGATGCGAGATCGATTAGGAGCACCCTGGAAAGAAAGGTTCGCACCAGGTGCGTATAGTAGAGGGTCTCGGGAAGAGACCCATGACTTCTGATCATCGGGTGAAAGACCAGCCGGACCGGAGTCAGTGCAACGCGTACGAGAAAGTACACGAGGGAGTTTGTCACTCCAAGGGTTTAGGATGCTACAGGGTAACAGGATTGGTCATGTCAGCAGAAGGTGATCAGTATTTCTCCAAATGTTTCGGGTATGTCATCTTCTATTGCTACTAGATGGATGTTGGGGATACGTATCACGTGGGAGTTATGAGTCAGTGTTGATAAGTTAGATATCGGGTCGGTTTCCTACTATCTTTTAGGTTATCAAGGATCATATCTGCCGTCCTGCATGCTGAAAAGTCCTTGATGAACCCACAGAGGGATGCATCTTGTGGAGCGGGTTCCGCATGTACCGTTATCATTCCAGATCTTTGTCGAGAGCTGTGTAGGAGTATTGTTTGGAAGATCCTCGATCAGGGTTAGAGTGATAGTTCTCAGTGTAGTCAACGTTCAGGGATTCTATCATCATCCAGGTGTGGTCGATAATTGTCCATGGATGAACTTTGGAGTTGAAGGCACTACCATTGCTAGCACAAGAATGGTAACATGAAGAGGGTAGTGTCAGTTGTGGGTGTTAGGTGCATAAGTAATTGGTCATCGGATGTTCAAGTGAATTGTGTTTTCGCATGGGCTGTGTTCGGTTAGAGTTCAACGGTACTGCAAGATTGGGAATGGGAACAAGGATTCGTCAACTAGAGGGAAGATTACGGTCTTCAATTGACAATGTGTGAGATGGATTGAGGCGTTAGATTGGACCAGATTTCAAGAGTACTCTTCAAGATTTTTGAGGATGGGCGATCTTAAGGTTTGATTGGTGATGGATTGCTAGCACTGGTAAGTACAAGTTGTCATCAAGGGGATACTAGGAAGCGAGAAGGATTGGAAATCCTTCAATTCTTGCGTGCAGTGAAGACTTAGTTGAATCTAAGTGGGGGAGAGACTTTTATTAAGTTCTCCAAATCTGAGTTCTGGTTGCGTGAGGTATAATCTCTTGGCTACCTTGTCAACTAGAAGGGTATTCCGGTCGATCCGACCAAGATAGAGGTCATGATACAGTGGTAGATTTTGAGGTCTTCAACCGAGATTCAGAGTTTCTCGGGTCTAGCGGGCTATTACCGGAGATTTTTATGGGACTTCTCCGAGATTGCGGTTCCTTTGACCCGACTGACCAAGAAGTCGATGGTGGATTACGTGATAGCAGGTTTCGGAAACCAGGTTAGAGTTTTGGTTAGGACTCAAGTTCAGTGGTGCGTTAGGTCGAGTGCGTATTCGACCCAATTTGGAAAGTGTTGTAAGACTATGGGGGTAGTCGTAGCATTCACTAGCAGTCAGATAGTATGGAAAGTGTTGTAAGAATACGGGGGTAGCCGTAGCATTCACTAGCAGTCGGATAGTTTGGAAAGTGTTGTAAGACTATAGGGGTAGCCGTAGCATTCACCAGTGGTCAGTTAGTATGGGAAGTGTTGTAAGACTGCGGGGGTAGCCGTAGCATTCACTAGCAGTCAGATAGTGATAGAATATCGTGAGACTGCGGGTGTAGTCGTAGCATTTACTAGGTTGGTAGATGGCATGAGCGTGTTGTTCGAACGCGGAAAGAGAAATAGTACCCACCAGTTCGGGTGCAACAGTGGAGATATGGAAATCCATAGATTGGATTTCGGTGTTACCTAGATGGATTAGATCTGTTTGAGTCAGTGATCGCATTGTAGGGGCGCCACTATAGTTATGGGACCAGGAAAGCAATGAACCATATAAGACTGCGTGTGACATTAGGCTACCATTGGTCAGGTAGCAATCACTTTTAGTGTTGGATTGGATGATGACAGGATTCTATGCATGGACCCGGTCAGTTAGATAAAAAAGTAGTAGAATTGCAGTAGCATGATAACTAGTGGCAACTAGTTCTAGAGAAGGATATCGTTCGGAAGTCATGAAAGACGACTAAGTGGGAGCCATTTGGCTCCACAGCCGAGCCAAAACCCGAAATTTCAGATGATCGGTGAATGAATTGAGACCAGGGAGGTCTCAATAGGTTTTGGCAAGTAGCCATGAGGCAAGATGCTGCTTCAGGCAGTTCAGTGTTCGGGCAGTTTCAGCACTTGGGCAATGTTAGTATTTGTGTTTTATGTTGCAAATACAAACGTAATACTTGGTTGATTAGGAAGTGACAAGTCACTCACAGCGAGATCAGATGAGCCTTAATCAAGTATTAATGGTTTGCAAGGATAATTGGGTATGTGATCGTGTTTTATAGCGGGAACCTCGAGCTATCAGAAGTTGAGTAGTCAGTTGAGGGATAAACATGCAAGATTCAACAATAATGATTTAGTATGAGTGGTCTTTCAAGGATTCAGACCATCTCGAGATAGCAGATTTCGGACAGAGTACATGTGGTCTTGTTGCAAGGAATTTGGCACCTACGGGTTTTAAGGCTTTACGAGGATTGGTCATGGCTACCCCAGGAAGGCTAGGACATGCCCAGGTTGGTGACCATGCTACTAGAGTGGTTGGGCGAGTAAGAATGGTAAGGAATGATTTCGAGGACGAAATCTAATTTAAGTGTGGGAGAGTTGTAACACCCTGTTTATTTGTTAGATAAATAAATAAACTATGAACGAATAAAAGCCTAAAATTAATAATTATATAGCAAGGTGTTGGTCTTGAGGAGCTATTGGTCACAATTTTAGAAGTTGGGGATTAAAAGCGTAAGTTCTAGATTTAGTTTGTAATTATTTATGAAGAAAGGGGCTTCGTGGTAATTATTTGGAATTAATTTAGAAGGAAATGAGGTCGAAGGGATGATTATGTCATAATTAAGATATTAGGGGCTGTTTGGTAAATTTTGTACATAAGGTGAAAAGGATTTTAATGTTGAGGGTTTAAATGGTAATTATCAGATTTAATTTAAAGAAGATTTCCATAGCCAGGGTAGAAAGGGTAAATATCGGATTACTTTAGAAATTATTTATGGTAAGGAGGGACTGGTTGTGACAAAGTTGTGGGAAGTTTGGGTGGAATACGGGACTTAAACCTGGTGCATTCTTTCCCTCCTATATTTGGACGAGCAAACCCTAAACCTAAAAACATCACACAGCCGCCACCTTGTGCTCTTCT